GACCAGACAATCCAGTGATTGATATCATGAGCATCGATCCACGCAATTGGGATCGATGACATGCATCAACCAAGTCAGCGAGCCTGACCACCCAATCCCATTAGTCGCCTCCTACATATACAATATGGCATACAATGTGTATATACAAAGGATATGCAATATGGCATATAATGTGTATATACAAAGGATATACTATATGGCATACAATGTGTATATATATACAAAGGATATACAATATGGCATATAATGTGTATATACAAAGGATATGCAATATGGCATATAATGTGTATATACAAAGGATATGCAATATGGCATATAATGTGTACCCGGTAAATACAAAGGATATGCAATGGTAATACCTTGCACAAGCAAAATCCATTACAGAGTCCTCAATTCTCACAAATACAGAGACCAAGACAAATCCTATTAGGCTTTGAGTGTAAATCATTTTCATGCTGTCAAACATGTCATAAAATAATCAACAAATGTTATATGTTTGTTTGTCGTTTAACACCGCACTCAGCAATATTCCAGCTATGTGACAGCGGTCTGTAAATAATCAGGACCAGATAATCCAGTGATTGACATCACCAGCATCGATCTACGCAATTGTGATATGAGATGCATCAATCAGTCACCAAATCCGACCACCCGATCCCCATAGTTGCCCCTTACAACAAGCATGGGTTGCTGAAGATCAATTCTAAAACCCGGATCATCACAGGTAGCGCAAACGTTATATAGTTAACAAGGGCTAGCATCACCAGCTGTTAAGTAGTCATCAGTAACATGTGGTCGTCATCCGACTATTGGTTTATGTACAACCTCTCCAACATTAGTAATATTCTTTTCTAAATGTCCATCATTCTTTAATAACTCACTCAGACATTACTAACAATAAGCCCCAAACTTTGAAATCATGAAAAAATGAACACAAAATTTAAACAACAAAAACATATTATTTAGAAACCAATTAAAAATCCATGTTTGATTGGCTGGGGCACAGTGATTCAACCCATGACAAAATTAATATTAACAAACTTCAAACACAAGTTCCTCGGGATTCAAACCAGATACAGGAAAAAGACTTTAGACCACATTTCAATATGTGCAGCATTGATGATGAACATGTTTTTCGTTTTTGGTTTCTTCTCGGAAAGGTTGTGTGGCTAAAATAGGTTTTATCGATATCAACAATCACTGCAACTTTATTTGAATAGTTTTACAAAGAAGGAACTTGGCTGACAGAATAGAAGATTGCTAATCTTCAACATATCCTGGGAACTAGGTGAGGTGAAATGGGGTTTAACATAAAGTTCAAGATTATTTCACTCACATAGCGATGAGTGTGCATGGTTACTTGCATAGCACCGACAAATTCCGATTTTATAGTGCTAGCCCGCCGAGATATCATGGCGCAGTTTAACATGGATAAACCACTCAGACACAGTATCCTGACACCAAGCTAACCAGACCTTGTTTCAGCCCAGCCAGGCAGGGTAACAACAAGTATCATCTTTTAACATCATGGCCAGGGACTTGAGCAGGATTCCCTTGTCCTAGTGCTCTGGACATGTATGATGAAGATTCCTAACTTTCATGTCCCATTTCAAACACAAGAACTTAGGGACTGTATTATCGCCTATTTAGTCATTTATAGTGCTGGGACGATACATCAACACATCGGTTGATCACGATTTTTACTTCTTGATACAAGTATCGATCACAGCACACTAAGTAAAATGTATCGATTCTTACCTTAAATGTTTTCTTGAAAATAGCGTCACACCAAACAAATGTTTTCTTGAAAATAGTGTTACACCAAACACTAAGTACATTGAAATGAGTAATGAAAATGTAAATATTTTCATCCATTGCGCCATACCTGACACTGTCAACTGTTAATCATTAGTGGTCCAGGTATTTGGCAATCCTGTCTATGGAAAAGATGGCTTACGCACCACAGATAAGTGCTAATGCAAGTATCACGATTCGGATCTGATCGTGGGCAAGGTATCGTGATACGTATCGGATCGTCCCAGCCCTAGTCATTAGCTCTAGTGCAATGGGGCAATGGATAGAAAATGTATGAAAGTAATAGCAAAGGATCATATAGTGTTCGAAATTTAACATTAATGTCAAGGAGTCCAATTTTAAATGTTTATACTTTTGGGGGTCCCTAGCGAGTGAGTGAGTGAATGAGTGAGTGATTATGGTTTTACTCCACTTTTAGCAATATTCCAGCAATATCACAGCAGGGGACACCAGAAATGGGCTTCACACATTGTACCCATGTCAGGAATCGAACCCGGGTCTTCGGCGTGACGAGCAAACACTTTAACCACGAAGCTACCAGACCGCCCTGGGGGTCCCTAGATTCAAGTGCTCAATGACCCCAAGACCCCCTTAAATTCAGAGACTGCCATTACAATTCAACCAATAAACTTAGGAATTCTGCATAGGACGTTCATTTATTAATATCATAATAGTATACATTCTTAAAAGGATCTTTGGGACAATTCAATGGCAAAAGATAACTATCAGCCGCTAAGGTGTAGTCATTAACCCATCTGAAACACTATATACAGTACATGTAAAAAGGAGTAACCAGCTCAGGTTATATGTCCCTATCAAAAGTAGAGCAGTATGGATCACTACAAACCAACTGGTCTGCTTGGCGCGATACAGTTCCTTGTACATCGTTATTATGATCAAGTGGACATTATATTCTTCTCCTTTATTCGTTACTGACGAGTTGACCTGATAATACAAAGTGTTTCATATGACAGCATGTCAAGGTGACCCTGTGAAAAGATGCATCACATTGACCAGGCAGTTTCAACATGTCACAGTGGTGCAGGTGACTTGTGAGTGACATAACACACTGTCATTCCGTGAAAGAGGTACATACATTCAAGTGGAAACTTTCAGTTGACAGTCGGGAATTTAATGTGCATTCCTAGCTCTGGAAAAAAAGTAAATTTGCAACCTAATCAATCACACTAAGTGCCTTTAACTGTAATTTTCTTTTGAGAAGTGAAATGCATGGTTTCATTAAAACAATTATATCCTGACAACACAAGAAATCTCAAGCTTGATAACTTTGTTCTAAGCTCCTGAAACAGGAAAGAGTAATTATTTCTCTTGAAACAAAATCTGCCACATTGTTGGGTCTGAAATTTTAGAGTGCAGCTCTCAGAAAGCGCATTGACACACATTGGTCTATTTATAGAGCGGTTCCTCTAAGCAGATGAATGGAAGTGGTTCAGTGAGGGGAAACAGCACAAAGGATGGATAGTTCTCGCATAACATCCATTTAAATAAAGTATTGGGGGGGCAATACTTACTTCTACTTTGGTGCGACCCTTTGGACGCAGATTTTCACCATTAACAGTCAGGTTTCGCCATCAAACACCTGCCCGACATGCAGCTCCCATGCAGCTATGTCGGTGAATGCACGGTGACGTCATCTGTCACTCAACCAATCAGGGCGGAGTTTAGTTGCACACCCGATTGTCGATTGAATGCAATTTGGCTGAGTGTCAAAAAGCGTCGTACCTCTTTTTTAGAAATTCGATTTATTTCCTGAAACCGATTGTTGGAAGATATCACTTGTCTGTTCAATTTTATTCTTTTTCTCTAAAAGTAGTGAACAATGCTCGCGGGGATCGTAATGTCATTCCCAACCTTGACCCTGATGGCGGGAAATTGAAATTAACATAAATATTGATTGACAAACCGTTACGTGAAATAAGCGAGGTTGTCAATATCTACTCTGCGAAAATACTTATATGTCAAGGATAAATTATGCGTCGAGTTGACGGTACGCTTCTAATATAGATCAATATAGGTTTGTAAATTAAATTACGGTATTTTGAATGTTTTTGTCAACAATAAATTATTGATATATTGATATCTTTCACGTGTGATAGACTGTGTTGTTGGTGAATTGTGGAATTTGGCATTCCTAGTTCCTTAACATTAGGTCGCCCGTGAAGACCCGATTTAGAATGTCTTCAGCAACCCATGCTTGCCGTAAAAGGCGACTATGCTTGTCGTAAGAGGCGACTAACGGGATCGGGTGCAAGGCCGTAGTTAACTTTTTTTTACAGGGAGGGGGTGGATGGGTTGTATTTTCATGGTTCAGGCTCGTTGACTAGGTTGATACATTGCATCGTATCCAAATTGCGTAGATCGATGCTCATGATATCAATGACTGGATTGTCTGGTCCAGACTCAATTTTTTACAGACCGCCGTCACATAGTTGGAATATTACGGTGCGGCATCAAACACAATTGGGTCGTTGTTCCTGCTATCAACCACTGTAGTTTACCATACCCAGACTCGATTATTTTCTGATTATGGAGATATGCTGCAATAGTATCGAATTCGGAGTAGAAAATGCATTCATTAATTTCCCCTCTCTTAAATATCATTTAGGCGCGTTAAAATCTCCCAATTTCATTACTGTGCCTGTTATTCCTAAATTCACCATACACATGATATAATCAGAGACTGCATGACAGTTGTGTGTGTGCAAAGCACGTGTATTTTTATACACCACTTCATTTTGAAAGAACTCATTACAAATTCGAATGCAATAGAATTTTTTAAAATCTGTCGAAATTAACTTTGGCGGGGAGAAATTGTATATGACGATGCGGCTGCATATCGCAAAAAACGGTTACCACATATTGAAATTATATGTGAGCAATAATACATAACGTTAATTTGCCTTAAAGTAATTAACTTTCATTTTATAGCACGGTAAAGAAGGCGTATTGAGCCAATCGTCACTTCGTGTAGTAAGGGGGATAACTCTATCATGATACACGTTGAATCTAAAATCATGTCTAATTCGGTAATTTTCTTATCAATTATAGATAAGAAAGATACTATACATGTTCTATGTCTTGGTATTATTGGTCCAAGACAGATAATGCTCGATCTATATGAAAAACAAATTTTTGACAGGTTGCAACACGTGCTCGAAACATTTGTAAACAAAGAACTCTCTAGAACTGGAGTATGGAAAATCCGCAGTATCCAATAAACAACATGGCGTCAACGTGGTTGGAAAAATTGAAAGAGGCACAGAAAACGTGCTTAGTTCAAGATGGTAAGTGTTCTGAGTAACATTGCGCAACTACCCGAGAAGCATACAAGACATGTCGCTTGCGAAAACAAGCGGCGGATATTGTAGTCCTAAACTGTTGCTACGGTGACCTCATAAATGAGATTAACACGGCCGAGTTTCACCGCTGTAACAAAATATTGTTAACACATTGTAACTTTGGGGCATGCTAATACCCGTCGTGGCACATTGCTACGCTCGTTTACCATCACCGGGAATACCTCCTGTAATTGCTATGTTAGAAAGACGCCATCGCCTTTGGCGGACTGTAAACACAAGTCACTTCGAGCACATATTTTATTAAAAAACAACTTCACCTCCTCTAGTACACTGTTCAAATCATTTCACGATCCTACTTGTGAGACTTTCTCCTAGCTGATTAATGTTCCCAGTGGGTTTCATATCTCTGGTCATTGGGACCGGCAGAAATTACCAGCCATTACTAAATATTGCGGGTTTTTATTTTGAGACCTTTCACATCAAAGTAAACACAATTTATGGATAACAACTTCTCTAATACTGTAAAGGTGACGTTTCGGTATAGATCCTTATACCGTTGTCAAGCATGGTATAAGGATCTATACCGAAACGTTGCCTTTACATTATTAGAGGAGTTGTTATCTATAAATTGTGTCTACTTGTCATCCGTCAACTTCTAAGTAATGCCTATCAAAAAATTCATCTTTCACATCCATATAGTGTTCTGTTTGTTCCCCCAAATACATTGACAGTGTCTTTTTGTTGATCACCATGCTCTCATGTAATCTCGACCGCCTCCGTGGTCCAGTGGTAGAGTGTCCGCCCGGAGAGCGGAAGGTCCAGGGTTCGATCCCCGGCCGCATCATACCAAAAGACGTTAAAAGATGGTACTTGTTGTTACCCTGTCTGGCACTCGGCATTACGGGGCTTAAACAAGGACTGGTCGGCTCGGAGTCAGTATACTGTGTCTGAGTGGGATATTCAAGTTAAACTGGGCATGGTATCTCAGTGAGCTAGCACTATAAATCGTCATCAGTCCGGACTAGTACAAGCAGCCACACAAACACACACACATACATGCACGTCGCTATTTAAGTGCAATAATCTTGGACGCGACATTAAACCCCATTTCACCTCACCTCACCTCATGTAATCTCACATGTATATAATCAGACAATGCCGACAGCTTACGATCACATTGCATTAGGCCTAGCAATGATGCTGAGAAGTGCCAATGTGACAAAGATTGTAGAACTACCCCAATGAAACCAATGATGAAACTTTATCTGTTTTATTGAAATCTATTTTTAATTTTTTTAAATCACTTTGTGTCAGTCATGTGTTTTATGTGGCTTACAAGGTTGGGAAATTAACACTCACCTGTAGGCCCAAGGCTATGAAAAATCACCTTGGGCTAATAAAATTAAAAACAGCATACCTATAAGTTAAGAGGAAATTTGAGTCTCAAGAAATGATATCATCACTGATGATGTGCCTGACTAACTGTACTACAAGTTTATCTGTTTTGTACAGGGGGCACAGGTGTCCCAGTCGTCTAAGGCGCCGCGATTCGCTGTGCAGAGTGACGTCCCTTGGGCAAGCCAGAAACCTATGATTGTGGGTTTGAATCCCGGTTCACCCTGATTATGTTTCTAGGTTTGTCAGCACCATACCCATGCTCGTGGGTTTCACCAAAGTGGTAAACATCTGAGACCTGCATCACTTCGGGTTTTCGTCCCACATTAAGCTGACACGCCATGATATAACTGGAATACTGTTAAAAGCAGCATTTAACCCAACTCACTCACTCAATCACTCACTCACTCACTCACTATTTTGGTCAATTGTAGGCAGAAGGAAGATACATTTCACATTTAAAGATGGGGCAGAGATGACAGAGGAGTATGACCTTCAGACCAGTGAGCTCGTCGGTATGTAACATGAAGACCATGAACAGTTTGAAAACAAGGACTGGTCAGCTCGGAGTCAAGTATTCTGGGTCTGAGTGAGATGTCCATGTTAAGCTGCGGCATGCACTTTGTTATATAAGTGTAATAATTTTGAACGCGACATTAAATCCCTTTTCACATCACCTTCTCTCTTTAAACAATATTAAGAGATTAGTATCCCATTCTCTTCAGGTAATGGATCCTGATTCCTTTTATAGGAAGATCTGGTTTGAACTGGCCTTCAGCAACCCATGCTTGTCATAAGAGGTGACCATGGGAGTGGATGGTCTGGCTCGTTGACTTGGTGGAAGCATGTCAACATATCCTAATTGAGTAGATCTATGCTCATGATGTTCATCACTGGATTGTCTGGTACAGACTCAGTTATTTACAGACCGCCATCAGAGAGCTGGAATATTGCTGAGTGTGGTGTTAAACAACAGACAAACAAAAATGCAATAATCACAACATATTTTTTACTTTTTTACTCCTAAATCCTAGATATTTTTTATATTTGTACACTTATCCTGCATTACTGCGTCTAAAGGGACCCACCCATCGCGGAACTACCTCCCCACGATGCCTTCCGATGTTCGTACTCCAGAGTAATGTGAGGATCCGTGACGTCACTTCCGGTTGTCACATGGGAGCTGCGTGATGGATTGGCCTCTCAGCTAGTTGGAAAACTTTCTACAAGCAAAGACCATCACACAGCTCTTTTCTCTGTCAAGAACACGCAGTAATATGCATTAAGGAGTAATGCAGGATAAGTATACAAATATAAACTAGACACATATAAAAATGGTCCTGCAGTGGTTTTCCATAGTTTTATTTACATTACCTGACTAAATGTTGACATGTATTTACTTTTACTTCATACCAGTTCGTCGCTGGCGTCGGCAAGGGCAGCTGGGCGGGGCAGGCAAGTGGGAGACGGAGGTGGGAGAGGAAGTTGTGCCGCGGAGGATGGAGATGGAGGGCATGGTGGAGAGTAGCAGCAATGTAGGTCACAATAGATGTACGCGTTTCGATACCTGTAATCACAACCTCACACTCCAATACAAGTGACGTAAACGTATTTTGATTCACATCAAAGTTGGAGAAAATCAAATGTGTGGCATAAGATAACAAGACTTTTAACCAATCAAATATCATCTGATATAATGAGTCAGTTATTTCATCCCCTGTTGGTATTTTGGGGCAGAAAGGTCCATAATATTGCATGTTGTTGGGAGAGTCAACTTGTGAATGGTCATCTTTGTGTTTGTGTGTCATCATGCGTAGAGATTTGCTTATCATAGTATCCATTACTTTTCTGCCAAGCCGAAATGGAATATTACAAAAGCAGTTTGTGCCAAAAACTTTGGAGTCTACTCACCCGGACTCATCCCTAGGCAAGAGAGTTAACTGACATTAAAAGTCCAGTTTCCACCCTTGCCGAACTTGGCTGGAATTCCTGGGCTCGATTGTAGCGCCACCAGTGGTTATTACGAGTTGTGTCCCTTCTAAGCCTCTCCTGTGGACCAATCAGATTCCATCACTTGCATTTGTTTCAAACAAAACGGTGGTGCCCAGTCAAGAAGATCTGGTCCATAATCAAGATCTATATTGTGATAAAACAGGTCTTAGATCGCGAAGTGCATCAAATAACGCGAGCACCTTGATTAAAAACATAAAAATGTTTGGAAAATATCTGTTGACAATGAGTTGGTGGTGCACATGCTTTGCAAATCCTGCAATCGACCGAAATCTGCACGACAGTTTATGAACCGGATTTCGATTTCGTTGCACGATTTTGATTGGACTATGCATAGACTCGTTAATACCAGCCTAGTTCAGCAAGGGTGGAAACTGGACTTTTATAGTCAGTTAACTCTCTTGCCTCGGGAAGATGACCCAAACTTGGCTCTAGGCATCATTTGGCATAGATTTGAAGTTATGATGTGGAGTATTATTATGAGCTTACTAGACAGAACTAGATTTGGGCTTTGGACTGGTGGCTAAAGTGCATTAATAAAACAGGAATACCCAGTAATAATAAGTGGCGTATAACAACATTCATTTGTTCATTCATCAATTGCACCATTATTGCCAACTCTTTAAGCTGAATAAAAATAACACAAAATAATTACTGAAGGACCAATTTATGTTGTATGTCTTTCAAAATATTTACCCATTGGTACCCTGTGTTGTAGATCTGTCTTTGGTTTCATAAGCAGTACGTTTTGTTTGTTGGTGATTTCATGGTACTTCAATACTGTTGTTAAAAATATGATGAATTTCCTATTTACAGCCCATTTTCACCAGGAAAGACATCAAGAGCAAGTTCCAGTGGCGAGTGAGGAACCTGCCCTACCCTATCGAGATATACAGCGCCAGTCTAGATGAGTCCTCCACACAGGTCATCATCAGAACCTCAAACAAAAAGTAAGAACAATGTGATGTTGTTTGTTTATTGTTTAACGCCACACTCAGGATAGTCCAGCTGTCTGGTGTCAGTCTGTAAATGATTGAGTCTGGATCAGACAATCCCATTACTGATATCATGAGCATCAGTTTTTTTTATTGGGATACGATGACATGCATCAAGTCATTGAACCTGACAAAGAAAGAAAGAAAGAAGATTTCCTGACATAGCGTGTATGCATGACATGAAACATGATATTATGAGGACAATATAGGCCTGTCAGGCAACCTGTTGCAAGAACTAGTAAGCAGCCCCGAATCTCACATGATCCTTCTGCAACAGTGTAGTAGCTCAGTTGGTGCGTTGTCTTTGGTTTCCAGAAATAGGCCAATTAACAAAGGTGCTGGACAGAGTTATGTCCCTTAGATGTCAGATCAGCAAGCTCCTTCCCAGCGCGTGACACGTTCGTTACACTCTCGGTAACATCGTTGCCACCAGTGTGGGCATGGCCATTACAAGAATCTTGAAATTTGCCCTCTAACCCCATATGTAGTAACGTTGATAATTTTGTTTATGTCTTTGGGAATGCCATGATATTTAATTTTGAAAAGGTTTACGACTGACCATGTTTTCATGATGAATTTACTTTGTTGTTTTAATAATCAGATTGGTTCGAGATTGCAGACTAACAGAAAATCATCCAACTTCTCCCTTACATTCTTACTATATCAATAACACGATAGTTTTAATGAAACAAATTTAAATTGACAAACGAAGAAAGTAATTTAGCAGCGATAAGTGTATTCGGCGTCACGACAGTCGTCACTTGTTTGTAAACAAAATGGTCATTCGGTTGCGAGTTCAACTCAAAGCATGGTTGTGGCCACCTATTCACAGTGGGGAGTTTTGACTGGTGGCAGCGATAGTATAGAGAGCTCCGCGAACGGGCTATCACTGTGAGGAGCTTGTCAGATCCGGTGATTATGGAGCTGTATCCGTACCATGGTCGTCACAATGTGGGAATGACTTTTTCATGTGTCACATTGGGTCTTCCTCTCACATGAAGCTGATACATATGCAGGGATATCACTAAAATGCTGTTGCATGGTTTAAGCAATCTTATTAAAATCAGACCTTAGTTCCAGCTACCGCTATACAAAGATCTGAGGACATCCCATTCAGGGTCACATCAGAACGACCTTTCATCTGACCAATCAAAGTGTTGCGTACCAGATCAGGAAAGTATCTGTCAGAATGTGTTTTTAAATCATGCAACCTCTCAACATCTAACACAAGGTTTTCTGAATGACAGTTGCAGGCTTTGCAACTGAATCCATACAATCTAGGCCATCTATCAGCCATTCCAAATTATTTTTTTGTACAATTTGCAAATTTTTAATCAATAAATTGTCAAAATATGTTTCGAAGCGTAGTCGCCAATTTGACAGTAGTGTCGTAAGCACGAGAATACTGCCTTATGATTGGCTAATGTCAACTTCTTGTCAGTCATTTTATCGGCTGTCAAGGTTCGCGAAAGGTCGCTCTAACCTGACCAGTAATGGGTTGTCCTCAGGTCTTTGTTTAGTGGTACAAGAACTAAGATCTGATTTTAATGAAACTGTGGTTAGTAGTGCTGAATGTGTCTGTGGATAAAAGTGTATTCTGTCATCGTTGTCAATATCTGTGAATTTTCCAAAATTTCAAATGTTGGAGCCACTTTTGTGTCCAGTTTAAGTTTATGTAACTTGTTCTGCTTTGATTTCAGATACTACAAGAAGTTTACCATTCCTGACATGGAGCGTCTGGGACTGAAGCTGTCAGCTGATCAGATCCACTTGGCTCATGCCAATAACACACTTATAATATCAGTAGGTTCTCCATCGCTTGTTTGGCAGGATTAGAAGAATTTTCAGGATAATTTTGGGTCAAAGGTGGCCCATTAGTCCAAGGTGTTAGTCTTGGTACAGAGTTGTTTCTCTTAGCTGTGGCAGGATACATATGATCCTTTCAGCACCAGATACATGATCATTGGTTACACAAAAACGATAATGTCTGTGACCTGCATCACTTTCTTCACTCATTAGACTGGCATGCTGTATGAATGCATATCTATGAAATAGACTGTATGGAGGTGTTAAACCCTACGCACTCCGTTTATAACTGATATTGGTGAAAGGAAACACTTTGTGAATTGAATAATGAATGTATTGAGGTGATACATTTGAAAGATTTTTTGATGCTCAGATATTGGTAGGGATAGACATGGCAACTTGTCCGTTAGTCTGAGACAAGTAACTAGTTTTATTCTGTTATCTTGTTATTTTGCATAACTTCTAGACCAAAACAATCTGTGTAGTTGGATATAGCCGATGTGTCTACCACAGTATTTCATTCATACATTGTTTCTTGTCTTCACAGTATCAGAAACCCAAGGAGATACTGGATATAGAGAAACAGCTGCAGGAAGAGTTCAAGAAGATGAAGGCGACCAGTGATGGAGACATGGACTGCCGGCCCAGCTGATGGACAAGCTCTGCCAGTGACTTCTTTGAGGCATGGAGCCCATGTGTACGAGGGTCCATCAGCTAGGCTGGCAGTCCATGGGCCCGTTCCTCAAAGCGATCTTAGCGCTACAACTATCGTAAGCCTACGTTGAAGTATGGGAGTTACGATCATCTTAGCACTAAGATTGCCCGCCTAGCTGATGGACGCTGGTACACACAGCACAGCAAGCTCTGGCAGTGGCTTTATGGGGATCTGAGTAATGTGAACAATGATGCATGATGTTGGGATGTTTTTCGGAAAAGGACGTAACTCTTACAAAATTATAGAATATCTGTTCTGTTTGGGTTTCATTGTTTTCTCTTTTGTTAACATTTGGAAGTATTTGTAAAGCATCGCGTGTCTAGATGTCGTGATGATATATGAAGCTTGTATAACTGCCAAAATATTAAGTCTTTGAAAGGCATTTAGAAGTGATATACAATAGGAAGAGAATATTATGGATGCCAATTTCTGGTGTCCCCTTCTGTGATATTGCTGGAATATTGCTAAAAGCAGTCTAAAGCCACATTCACTCACTCACTCACTTAATAACTAGGTATTGTCAACTGACAATGGTCCAAATGTTGTATTAGATGCAGCTCCACTAAATCCAATGTCAGTTCAATTCACAGATCACCAATATGGAGGAAGCATATGAGACTGCACACTATTACCAGTATATGATACTGATACGTATTGCAGTATTTGTTAATGTGTTCCGGTATATTGGGTAAAAAAATATGTAATAAAGTTATAATATTTGTATCGTTTAACCTAAAATCTACCCAGAAATTCATTCACAAAATATGTTTTCCTTTGATTGTCAAAATGTCTGAAATGATTTTTCTCACATGTCGTTATCTCCCCTGTATCCATGACTTCAAAATGGTGGCCACTGACCTTATTTACTTAGTATGTAAAAAATAGCATCTGCGTGTATACTACTCAAAAGAAGTTAAGGATCACCCGATTCTTTCATATTGGTAATGTTAATCTGTCATGGCATGAGAGATTAACTATTGTAATATGAAAGAATCAGGTGATCCTTAACTTCTTTTGAGTAGTATGCAATCAGTGTCAATCACTGTTGAACACTTGAGCTCCAAGTATATTTCAATATGTATTGCTATACAGATACCTGTATCGCAATATATTGCAATACAATTATACTGCCAATACACAGCCTTAGCAGATCACAAACACATGGTCATTGATAATGGCACTGTATGACTAAACAGACTGGATATAGTTACTGTTAGGAGTTAATGTCTGTTGTGTTTGGTAGAGTGGATAGTATGTCTCCTCACGTGTTTGAGAGACATGAACATTACACTTGTCAGCATTGTTAAAAGCAATAATTTATGTTTGCATTTCATGGTGAACCAAACGAGTTTATGGAATAAACTTTGTATTTTTTTCATACATTTTCTTTTTTATGTAGCCATGATTTTGTTTGTTTGTTTGTTTGTTTGTTGTTGTTGTTTAACGTTGCACTCAGCAATATTCCAGCTATTTGATGGCGGTCAGTAAATAATCGAGTCTGGACCAGACAATACAGTGATTGACATCATGAGCATCAATCAACGCAATTGGGATACGATGACATGCATCAAGTCTGGACTAGACAATCCAGTGATGAACATAATGATCTTTAATGTACGCAACTGGGTGACAAGTCACCAAGCCTGACCACCTGGTCCTGTTTTCTTCTTCTCTTTTTTTTTTCAGGCCACGCAGTACGGCCATGATTACCCATGATGCATCAATACATGGAATGTTAGTGGATCTGTTCATCTATCAGACGTGTTAAGTTTCAGAAAGAAGACTATAAATATCTCATGTGAGTGAATGAGTTTGGTTTGGTTAAATTCCAGCAATATCGTAACAGGCGACGCCAGAAATGGGCATCACATATTGAATCAGGGTTGGGAATCGAGCCCAGATCTTCCTTGTGGCGAACACATGCTTTAAACTCAATGCTATCCCATTTCTTTATTTTCTGGGGGCAGGGGTGGCCCAGTCGTCTAAGGCGCCGCGATTCGCTTGTAGAGTTGCATCCCTTGGGCATGCCAGAAACCTATGATTGTGGGTTCGAATTCAGGTTCGCCCGATTATGTTTCTAGGTTTGTCAGCACCATACCCGTGCTCCTTTCAGGGAATTGGTAAACGTCTGAGACCTGCACAACTTCGGGCTTTCCTCCCACATTAAGCTGACACACTGTGATATAACTGGAATACTGTTAAAAGCGGCATTAAACCCAACTCCCTCACTCATTCTTTATTTTCTTATGTAGATTGTGGGTTTAATAAGATGATGTGTGACATCCATGATGTATAAGCTTTAGTGATGTAAAGACCTGATCTTAACACTATTGTCTGTGTCAGAGGATGTGAGTATCATGGCGCTAAGGTCGCTTTATGGAACAGGGGCCAGGTAATAATTCTTGGTATAACCCACTGCTAGTGATAGGCTGGATACTACGAGTGATACATATTTTGGCCCCCTCCCTTTTAAAAACGCTGGATCTGCCCTTGTGATAGGCCCGATGATGCTAAAAGCATCACAAGAGTAGTATGCGTTTCAAAGTGTTTCACAAAAAATAACTCCCAGATCAACACACAGCTGAACAGACACATAGCTTGGGCTATGCATAGTGAAGACCATTTGGCTGTTATAAAGCATTTTATTCACATTCCAGTGTGAACCTCGCTAGCTCTCACATGAGTGGGGCTAGAAAAGTATGATTCAGAAAACAAAACAATGCTGACCGAACCTAGATACGAGGGCATTCATCCCATCTGTGTGTTTACATCTTTGAATAAAGAAGCCAGTGACACCACTGACAACAGTGAGTGAGTGAGTGAGTGAAGAGTTATAGTCACTTCGACATCGGAATGTAATATCATTGTGTGAGTAGAGTGTACTGCATTCGTGCTTCCTTTAATATTGTAGTGTCAAATGTCACTGTAAGGACATGACAGACCTATCCCGTAATACGGTACTGGGTGATGAATGGTGACAGACAACTCCTAATAATAGGCCCAAATCCACATCCTTAAACATGCTCAAAGGCTAAATTATTACCCCGGTCGATGGATCAGTGTGCCTCGATTTCCATTCTCAGCGCCCTTGGGAGTTTACAGCCCAAACTGCCTGTGAGGGGCTAGAAGGTTGACAGTCACATCACCATCTCATCCTACCGGGTACCCATTCACTACCCGGTTCCATTGGGCAACTGAATGACATCATGGCAGTCGTTAACTGTGGAATGTCGATGAATGTCATATACGATTTTAACTTATCAGACATCCGAACGAATTGAATCACACTTGCTGTGTCTGCTTATCACCTACATGGTGTCTTCTGTAAGGTTTTCTACGTAAGTCCCCAAAACACGACAATGTATGAGCTAGCTCACATTCTATCGAACCCGGAAGATCCGGGTTAGAATTGATCTTCAGCAACCAATGCTTGTCCTAGGCGACTGTCGGGATCGGGTGGTCGCTGACTTGGCTGATGTATGTTATCGTATCCCAATTTCGTATATCGATGTTCATGATGTCAATCACTGACTTTTCTGGTTCAGACTCTATTATTTAGAGACCATCGTCATATTGCTGAGTGCTTTACACAAACTAACAAAACACACTCTATCAGTTAATGGTGAATACAAAGAGGTTCAGTCTGACCCAAGGCATGTACTACCAGGTCTTCACAGGACCGCAAGGAGACATCAGAACGCTGGACAAAGTCTCCCCAGGTAGGTCAGTGAAACGATATTTTGGGGGACGCTCTATAAACCGCCTTTTTGGTCATGATACTGGGAGATTGATGGTTCACCACGAGACTTTGGAAAGACAACCAACAACTACATGCCCACTACATGCCCTGAGTCACCAATGAACATGTCCACATGGGTAATATGTATATTCACTTTTGTTGGTCAGTACAGTAAATTAATACCATCATGTGTCCATCGTCAGGGTCTGGAACTCATGATTTGAAGATTACCTATCTCAGAATACTAAAGAATACACCCAATCAGAACCCCGGTAACACGGGTTTCTCTGCATACTTTACGGGTTTATATGAACCACACCTCCACAAAAACCCGTACAGTACGAAGGTTATGGTACTGTGGAAACGTTACACAACAGCAAGACTTGAGCTTCAGTGAGAAAAATAGCAAGAAAATAACGAGAAAGTTTCGTATTATTTGTATTTTGAAAATCCATGAAAATGACATTTAAGTATGTACATAAGATTGATATATACATAAATACAATAAATAGAGGGGATGACAATATATACACCGTCGGGAAATATACATGTGGAGATGCATGGAGAACTGGATGGTCAGATATAATTTCTATCCTCAATACTTAGATCAGTTAACTACATGATGCATTGTGTCTTCGCACAAGAAATGTCTTTGGGTTGTTCACGTTCTCAGTCGCCATGTCTGACCTACAACTCAGAACACCAACAGCCGCCAAGGAACCAATGTCGCCGCGAATGGCTGCAAGATCGCGGATGTCCACGGGTATGGTGCCGAGAACAGCAACATGTTCACAAATAAGTCAGGATAAGATATATGGATGAACAACTTCTTTATTACAATTAGGAGCGACGTTTCGGTGTAGGTTCTAACACCGTTATCAGGCAAGTGTTAGAACGGTGTTAGAACCTACACCGAAACGTCGCTCCTAATTGTAATAGTGAGTGAGTGAGGTTTTACGCCGCTTTTAGCAATATTCCAGCAATATCACGGCGGGGGACACCAGAAATGGGCTTCACACATTGTACCCATGTCGGGAATCGAACCCGGGTCTTCGGCGTGACGAGCGACTGCTTTAACCACTAGGCTACCCGACCGCCCCCTAATTGTAATAAAGAAGTTGTTCATCCATATATCTTATCGTTATTTAGTACTCCAACTACAATGCCTCTCAAATAAGTTATGCACACATTTCTGTAAGTCTTTAGCTGCTGTGGTGTCGGTTGATGTGATGTCTCAGTTCGCTCCTGGTCACGAAAGCCTTGCCGCAGGTGGCACACCCGAACGGTTTGCCCGTGTGGAGTCTCTCGTGGCGCCGGAAGGTCGTGCGGTCCCGGAAGTCTCTGAAGCAATATACACAAAGGTATGGACGCTCCCCCGTGTGGATGCGCATGTGAATCCGGAGGTTGGAGGAGCTCGCCAGTATCTTGTGACAGATCTTGCACTCCTTGGACTTCTTCGTGGAAGGGTCAACTTGTTGGCTGAGGACGGGTGAAGAGGATGGAGTGGCAAGTGATGTTGGCTGGTGCGGGATGTCGTTGAAGACGTCGTGTGGTGGCAGCAGTGATGACGCCGATGTTGACGAGAGGACGTCAGAGGAGTGTGACGAGCGAGATCCTGGAAAGTTGAAGACGTCGGAACATGGTGATGGTGGTGGGTTGTCGGGGAATGAGTCAAAAAAGTCTAATGAGATGTCGGAGATGTCGAAAAATGATGCAGAAATAGGCGACGGAGCAGCAGAGACGGCTGAAGATCGCAGATGTGACGGCGGCAGGGACGAAAAGACGTCGTCGAGTGGAGAAGATGACGCGGGGTCAGCTGTGTAGACACTGATCTCTGGAGGCGACTGTAGTCCAAGTGGTGATGGCGAGACATCGGGGAGAGCTGATTTTACCGTCTTGGATCTCTTAGCTCCACGATGCGGCTCATCTAGAACGGGTTCTACCTTACCCAGGATGTGCACCATGACGTCAACAAGTCTGTCTTCGAAGCGCTTCTGGTACTGGTTGAAGCAGGTCTTGCCGTCAAAGGAAGGCAGGCTGGAAAATCCAGAGTCGGGTCTCATCTCTTCCGAGAGGATGCTCTCTGCCAGGTTAGACTCCTCATCGACGTCCTTCGGCGACGACGTGGTTGGCGCGGAAGCAGGGTTGAAGGTTTTGTTGGCGTGGTCAGCTATGGAGGTGTCGCCTGACGCAGACGAGAAGGAGAAGATCTGCCGGAAAAGGCGTTGTTTGACGTCGGAGATGCTCTTACTTGACATGGGGATGATGCTGTGCTGCTGGGAGATGCTTGAGAGGTTGGGCGAGATCCAGGCAAATGGCGTTCGGGTCACTCGTGGTGGATCGGAGAGTCTTGTACTGTGGTTTGTGTACTCGTCAGACATGAATCTGGAAACAGAAAGACGACGATGTGTACACAAAATACAGGAAGCTCTATGGATTAAATAGCTCAATACCCATGAAGATCTGGTCTAGAATAGGTCTACAGGAACACGTGCTTGTCAGGCGATTATGCTTGTCTAGCGGGACTTGGTTGATACAGCGTATCCCATAATGCGTAGATCGATGCTCATGATGTCAATCACAGGATTGTCTGGTCCAGACTCGATTATTTACACACAGCCGTCATTAGCTGGAATATT